GTTTCACAGATTCTGGGTTTTGCTTTTTCTGTTCCTCTTCCTCAACATCAACAAGCATTTCCCAGGATTTGGGGGGATCACTTTTTACAGCATGTTCTATTTCCCAGTGTTTGGATTCTTCAGGCTTGATAGTATAGTCTGCTTCAGGCAAATAGCGCCTATTGAGAAACTATATAGACCAAAACAAAACAAAACCCTTCATTGCAATAGCATACTATTTAGTGTAATTTGCATTAATGTGCAAAGTAGTTCTCATCAGAGAGGTCAATACACTTCAGCCAATATATCTTATTGGTAAAGCAACAAGTAAAGCAGTTAAAATCCCTAGCTCGTGGTTTAGAACAAGGATAGGCATGTTTTGAGGCCAATGAGGCCATTTCCAGATTTTAGAGTACATCATGATACTTTCATAAAATGGCAGCCATTGCAGGAACACTTATTAATCCCAAAGTGGGTATAGCCAGTCAAAAACCTATCCACTTACCAGAAGACAGACTGAAGAGACAGCTTACCTCTTCCCCTGCACCCCCAAATATGTTTTCTGCCTTCTCCTTTTGCATTTGGGGGGGAAGAAGAGGGAGCATACTTTCAAAGCACCATATTAGAGCCACACACTCTTTTTCTAAAAATGCCTATAAAGATGTTAGAAACTAATGTTTTGAAGCAAACTGGCTTTCTTTAATTTTTAATTAAAAAAGTATATTAAAGGCAGGTGGCAGGGAGCTATCAAGCATCAAGGGAGGTGTCTGAAAACATACTGGTAACCATGGAAACAGTATCCTATCCAGTCCAAAGTTAAGCTGCCATAATTCTGGCAAGGATAGAAAGCCACCTAAGAACTAGCCGTTTTAGGTTCAGCAGAAGATAAAAATCTAGTAAATTTACAAATTAACAGTTTACCTCTTAAGGAAACCATCTACTTGCAAGCCACTGGTATCTAAAATAGCCATAAAGCTGCAGTAACCCAATCCCATATAAGACAGCATTGTTAGGACTTACTACAGTAAGCTGTTATAACAAATTGTAGTTGAAGAAATTAGCTAGGCAGCATATATGGACAAGTGAAGAAGGCATTAACTAAAGAAGTATATGTACTTTGGTACAGTATCAGTCAGATGTTCATCTCATTCTTAGGGAGTACAATGAGGTTATTATTTAACTTCATGCATCCAATAGTGTGCAATACCCATTTTAAAAATAGCATCAGGACAGTTTTGCTTTTTATACTTTCTTTAAAAATATATATTGAATATGAAAATGTACTCAACTGGACAACTCTTTAGCTACTCAGAAAAGTTATGATGCAAAGGAAAAGCTAATGAATCGTGTAACAAATGAGAGCTGAATCAGATGTTCTCAAGCACGTTCCCAAACTTGTTTAGAAGGACTCTTACAAGGAAAAAATGTTATGTGGGACTTCATCTTTCCTGTTCTCTCTAGTCTTTCAATTCCCTTGTATAAATATTTCTCCCTACCATTTCCCCAAGCCCACTTCTGATACAAGTTCCCAAATGATAAAGAAGAGATGTCCATTTAGATACAACTGGTAGCCAATCTGCAAAAGGAAAACTATATAGCAAACATGTCCTTAGTATATTTGTTCAACTTCGTAGTTGTTCCTTATTCAAACCTAACATTAATGGTATAAGGAAATGCAGATTCAGGAAATGTCTAGTCTCCAATCTGTGAGCAGAATTCAGCCTGCCAAGCCAACCCATGCAGACTTCAGCTGGGCCCCTTCAAATTTCATACCTTATACCTGGACTAACGCTTTGTCTTTTCCACTGGGAAAGATGAGAGATTGGTGAGGGTGGGAGGGGGGGGGGGGACGACACATTATTTTAAGACATTCCCAGCTCCCTGAAGCAGTGCCTCCCTTGTGAACTGTGTTTATCAGTGAATGGGTCTTTAACTCCATCATCATGATTTGCTTCATGAGAAGTGGCCAAGTAACAAACTGTCTTTCAGATTGACTTGCTTCCCACTCCACTATAATTGCATCTATAAGTTATTGCCAAATTTAAGTATCTGCTCAGAGTTAATGCCTTCAAGTTGCCTGAAATGAGAAAAAAACATTAATCAGCTCAGCCTTAGGTTCCTATTTTGACACCTTAGACTCCCCTCTTCTGCACAAAGTTAAAGGAACTGATCAGTGCTTTGAAAATATTGAAACATATGAAATATAAAAAGTGTTTTCTTCTAACATCTTTATGAAGTTAACACTATCACTAAGATATAAAAGCATAATTCCTGCCTATCCTATGTACTGAGATCAATGAAAATGAGTCAATTTTATAGCCAGTTTTTATAGACAATTTCCAGTCCAGTTACTACAAAATTCATAATGCAAATATATTGTTGAAGAGGACAGTGTTATAAATACCCATTTTACTATTGATTCTTTACAGAGATTTTTTTAGTTTTTTACTCCCCCAAATAAATAAATATTTCTGTTAAAAATATCAAGGTCCAGTTACTACTTTAAGCCCAGATAAAACCTAATTTTGTTGTTGTAATACTTGTAGCTTCCATTACTCTTATTTTCCAGACGTTAGATACTTAAGCATTGCAACATAATTTCAAAGAGCGGGTATACTTATACTTTTCCAGTCAACCTTGCTCTCCCCCATGACCCTTAAAAAGCTGTTTGAGATAAATCTCTAGAGCACCGTTTCTTAAAGTGTGGTCTGAGGACCCTGAGCCCTGCCCAAAGCCCTCTCAGGGGTCCGCGAAATCAAAATTAGTTGCCAGCCTATGTTGAAAAATAACACAATATTAAAATCCCATCAAACAATCATGAGAAGCGATACTGCAGCGAATGCATCATTTTTTATTTTTAATATAGTAAATATCAATAACCATACAAAAGATCTTTTGGGGCCCTCAGTAATTTTTAAGAAACATGGCTCTAGAGGACTATGGGATACTTCACGGAGAGTTGGAGTAAATTAATTCAGTAAATACCAATCAAGTGTATTTTGCAAGCAGAAACCCTTTTTACTAGCTCAAAGACGCTGTTGGAAGCGATCGATTTAGTTTCCTTTTGTCTTTGTTTAAAACAATGGGATAATCTGTATCAATAGTACTGAAACTACTGTCAGAACTACTGAGATGAACTCCTTTTACTAGTTTATCCAAGTATTGGTTAATTTTTTTTTCTTTTAGTAAGAATGTCAAATCATGTACTTGTACAGACTTATCTCAGTTGAAGTGTCTATTTTAGCTTCTTAATAAAATATGGAAGTTTCTTGCAATAGAAAATTAAGACTGGTTAAACCCAAAGTTTGACAAGCTGGATCAAGAACTTAGAACAGGTACAGTGCTATATTAATAGATTTTTCCAATATATCCTGAAAGCCTAAAAGGTCCAATTTTTAGACTTAGCCTGGGGCAGGCAGATTTCCCTGTTCAATCAGAACACACACACAAATGACTTGTTTCCTAATCCTTTATCTAGTAAGAAAACCCAGGAAGGGCAGCTGGCAAAGTAAGTAAGCATGACTCTTCCCACCTCAGGTTAAACAGCAAGGAAGGAGTTTGCTTAATGTTTTTATTTGAATCTTCCCAGAAGCAGAAGCTTGCAAAATACACTAGCTGTGAAGAAGAGAAGAATGTAAGCACACCACAGGACTTGGGAAGGAATCCAAGGCTCACAGACATAGTGAGTAATCAGAGCAGGTCAGAACTTTGACTTTATACTGTACTCAATTTCTTTCAAAGTTATTTTTAGTTTGAGTCTCAATCTACATTTTTGGATTATTTGAACCTGCTTTTTGAACTACCTTTGTTTGACCTTGCTTTCTGAACCCTATTTTTTCTTTAAGCATAATACTCATTTCTGTGTCATTTGCTGGTGTGAATTTCTAATATTATTTTACACAGACATTTTTGGTGCCAGTTTGTGTCTTGGGCAATTGTAATCTGGTGATATGCCTCAGAAAGTCTTAGGACTCTCCAGATTTATTACCAAATACTGACTTATGATGCCCTGGTATTTTTCAATAGAAAGAAGTAGACATTTTCCTTCTTTTGACCTTGCTCCTGTAAGTCCAGCTGAAGGAAAGAAAGGTTGTTTAGCAAACACAAGTTGACGTTAGTAACTACTGCATCATCTCACGTGGTTGTAGTTTGGTGAGGGGGTCCCAGTGATCAGAGAAAGCTTAACACAATCTCATCACATCATCACAGAATGATATGATTTAAAGTCACCTCTGACAATTCCTTTTGCTGGACCTTGAAATTCTTCAAGCAGAGCTTCCTGAAGAGATCCTGTATTATGCAAACCTTATAGTTAAAGTAATACTGAAAGCTATTTGCCAAAATGTAACTCTACTATGTCACTGCTACTGTAGCAGATAATATGGTGACTTACTTCTTGAGGCTGTATTTCGGATTGAACATGCTGCCTTTGAGATTCTAGAAAGAAAAAAAGTAAATAACTTGAATTCAAGTACCTGTACAAGCAAGTGCTGTAATTGTGTGAAGAGAGTGAAGTTAATTAACACAATATCTTATAGTTTGTTAACCATAATTTGATTAAAAGATAAGCCAAAATCAAACCAACCACATTAAAGATTAGGGCAAGGTATGAACCTAACCTCAGATTTTGGACTGAATGGCTTAAACCATAATAGTTCTATTCCCTACTCCAAGTTAGTAACATGCAATAGTTCATTTATCTCAGTACAAAGCACACAGATTGTTACAGTTGCATGTATAAATTTGGGCAACCTTGGTCAAAATGTATGTTTAAATATATCTCTAAGGGAACGGAAGATGACAAAACACCTTCTGCAGATTTGTATGTACGTATGTGCAGATTCCTACCAATGCTTTATGACTGCTAAGTTCCTCATACATTACTGAATCCTAAAAAATGCATGAAGAGAGCACCATAAGTGTCTCATC